TTCGACCTTCCGGAACTTTTTCTCTTCTCGATCGATCGTCACCAGGTAAATGGCCACGAAATCGAACTTCTCCTGTAGGAACCTCGCGCGATCAAAACAGAAATCATAGATCATAGGTATGTTTGTACGGCTTGAAAAATGGAGATACAGTTGAAGATACGGCCTGCACAAAGCGGCACGTTTTTGTGTATCGTTTCGAGAGTCGTTCAACGATGACCCGAGGGACGTGGTTTCGTTCCTTAAAATGCGTTTTCACAATGACAGAGAGTTGAACCGGTAGCGAGCATTCTCGCGTTCCTTTTGATGCGCGATTCAGCTGAAATCTGTTGCATTGTCGAGTCGAGAAGACGAGGTTCCTCTCACTCTCTCTCTTTCTATCTCTGCGACGATCGTGGTTGAAGATGAAGAAAATGTAAGACACGGAAGTGGCATTTGTACCTCACGAATGTGGATCCATAAGAAGAAATTTATAAACTAAAATACAATATATCATTGAAAATGAGCATTTCGAGAGAGAAAATATTTTTGTTGCTCTATCAGTGGAATTTTGCTTTCTATTGTAACATCGGGGGGCTCAGAAGCGCAATTAGTGCAAGTCACTTCTCATTGAAACTCGTATCAAGTCAATATTCTTTATTAAAAACGTCAGTCGACAGAGCAGTTCAATTATAATATGACTATTATAGAATAATTGCAAGTGTTCCATCGGTTAAAGATTTTGTAAGATTTTGTAATATAAAATGTCTTGTACTGTTTCGTTTTTCCATAAAGTAGTTAAAGAAAGACGAATTCATTCGAAAGAAAAGGGGAAGAAACAAGGAATATTCAGTTTTCCTGATTTCCCTTTTCACAGCGTTTTCTTCGCGACAGAACTATTAACACTAAGACAATGAAATCTATCAGTATAATGGATTTCAAATTTCCTTTTCTTACAATTGCTTCAAATCCTGCTTATTTTTGTCGAAATTAATATTGATTTCTGTTTAGGTAGAAACAGAATTGTATACACCAGTTTATTTTAATTATCATCATTTATATCGTTATGATTTATACGCACAATATTTTGATACGTATTAAAGGTTCTTCTATTGTTAAATACAATTTATTACAATGTCCTCACATTATTCGATAGACTTAAGTACAATATCTGACTTAGAAAGTCAGTTTCATCGCCAATTTTCCACCGAAACTCAATTTTCCCAATAAAAATTACTTTGTGACATTTCCCCTCACCCTTCATTTATATACGATATTTATCGATCTTCGTTTGTTAGAATCTGCAGTTACACACGTGTCTCGTCAATTCTGCGAATATTGCAAACACATTTACTGCATTCGTCTTCGTATTGACGCTCTAATGCTAATAGGTAATTGATGCGACTGTTGGTATTTGATTGTTTGTACAAACGGGCCTGAACGGACCCAGCATTGGCCAACGAAAAGTTAAAGTGCGATGGATTCGTAGTCGCGGTGAGAGGATCAAATGTGGGTCATCGATGACGTTCACGTGTTTATTTTACGTTTACACCATCAGTCAGGTTGATTTTCACGGTACAGTCGTGCTATCCGTTCGGAATTCCGAATAGAAGGTCATAGATTGCGTGCGGACTCGTACGGACAATATTAACAAACTCTGTGGTTGGTTATTTTATGGATATCATAAAATACGAGCCGCCAGTTTCTGCAATTACGATCGCAGGATATCCTGTTTCACTTGTAATTGATTATTACTTCAGACACCGGGAATATTCTTTGCACCATTATCGATGATAATTGCTCTATCCGGGACCGTTTGCTCGAATTGGAATTAACGTTATTGGCGAAATTTTACGAATTACTAATTGTAAATTACGAATACCAATTACTAAGGATTTACGAGTCAATTGGCTTTCGCGTTTCACGCGAAATCGTAGGATTTAATCTGCAACTCGTCACTCGTCGATTCATCAAAAAAAAAAAAATAATAAACAAACGCTTGATAATTATACAGAGCAATTGGTTTTCATATCTGACGTGAAGTCATGGAATTATAGAAAGAGTTCAATCTGCAATTGACATTATACGAGAGGAGGAAAGCAGAAAAAGAAAGGAGAGAGGAAAGTAACTCTGTCGAAGGAAACAATCTTGTTCCCAGAAATACAAATGACTAAGTAGGAGCAGTAAGAGCGGCCGAAAGTTTCGTCAAAAATTTGCAAAATTACAAGTTACAAATTACCAACAACGTTGGTGATAAATTTGTAATTCAATTGATTTCTGCATTCGACGTAAAATCGTAGAATTTCACCTGCAAACTTGTCGCTTTAACTCGATTTAAAAGAAGATAATAAACAAACTCTTGACAAATTTACATAAATTTTCACATCGGACGTGAAATCGTGGAATGGCGAAGAAGGTTCGAGCTGTTCGATTGACGTTGTTACGCAAGAGAAAGAAGGCAGAAAGGAGTGAAGGAACTCTCTGTGTCGAAGGGAACAATCGGCCCGGAGAAATACGACGATGGAGGAGGGAAATAAGAACAGTCAGGACCCGAAATTTCGTCGGATGCATTAAGAAGCTACGGTCTAATAAATTTTGGAAGCATGTTGGAAGCCTGTTCGACGCAAGCCAGTAGAATTCTTCCGCAGATACCGTCGCGCAGAAATGCTCCGCATTCTTGGTGAGCGTGTCTGCGAACGCGTACGACAATAAGTCACGCTCGAATTTGCAATAACGACGCCACGGTTACGCTCGCGATCGTGGAAGACCATCGTTTCCATCCCCTGGGATACGCAAATTTTGGCAGTGCTCGCGCGCGCTCGTAAACCCAGCGAGTTTGGAGTTGTCTCGCGCGTTTCCATCCTGGAAGGTGACTATAAAATTCCGAAGAACCGCGTACCCGCTGACACGTGAGAATTCTGGCGCGGGCGAATGATCCAAGGCTGGCTGAGAAGTTTTCAGGAATTTTATTTCACGTTCGACGCGAAATGTGCTTCTCCAAGGGAAATTTATGCGACGAGATCGCCAAAATTCTCGGACGCTTCGTAATTTTAAGAAGGTCGGAACTTTGAGCTCTCGTCTGTGAGTTTCTGGCTTGAAAATTTGAACGTTTGGTATTAATTTTGGAAACGTGCGAATCCTGAGTTTTAGCATTAGCCGTTTTACAAAAAATCAAACAAGTGACTGCATTTAGAATCACGTTTGCAAGTAACAAGCATATTGAGCTTCCTGTCGATTCTGTTATCAATTGAAAATCAGCAAATTGGTAAGTTCGAAGTAGATTTTAAATAAGAGAGCTCTTTGGAAAGGGGATTCTCGTACATTGACCCGCGAACGAGAAAATATCCCAAAGCGAGGTATTTCTATTTGGTTTAGGAACAGTCCAGTCGTGTCAAACGGCGTGTCTCCAACTGGAATTTAATAGATCGCCCTCGGTTTACACGTTTCTGCTTTCCACGACGCTCGATCTCGATCAACAGAAATAGTGCACTACCTATAAATACACACTCGTGTATATACCGGTGGATTGTTAAAAATAAATGAACGACAATCTCCGAAACTGAATCATTTCGAAGATACGCCGAGAATTAAATGTTTTAAACCAGTCGTTAATATTATACAACCACTTATTTTCGACATCTTCGACACAACGGTAGGTTGGAATTCGTATCCATCTCTCATGAAAGAACAAGAGCTGTTGAATATAATTTCAATACGATAACGTAAAATTAGAATTCACCCAAATTTAAAAAAGAAAACAATATCCACCCACTTATTCTGATTAAAGAATAATTTCTAAATTATCAAACCTCATTCGAATTTAAAAAAAAACAATATCCACCCACTCTCGTTCTGATTAGAGTATAATTTCTAAATTATCAAAACTCATCACGTTCAATTGTACAGTAGTTCGATAAATTTTCGTGAAACTACGTCTTTGCTGAGGTGTTTAATATTTTAAGAAGAAGAAGGAAACGAAAAATCGTGATTCGTCAAGTAGCTATCTATAAATTGTTATTAATTGTTTGAATTTATTGTTTCTATAAAAATTATTATTATTCGTCAAGTATTTCAACTATTTCATTGTTTCTATAAATAAAAATAATTCCTCGGCAATATACAATAACAATATACGTTCGTAGGAAGAACATAGCAAGGTTGAATACATTAGTATTGGTCTTTTTAGTTTTTCTTAAGTTTCTCGGAATAATCCTCCATCGCGTTCATCGAAATTCCACGAATACGATCAAGCGAAGCAGAAATTTCGAAGATGCCTGGCCCGTGTCGCCGCGCTAATTTTCGCGATTTGCACACCGCTGGAAATTACACCGAGGAACGAGCGTATGATTTTCCGGATGAGCGGGTTCGCGAAACCCGCGACGACAGAAGCACAGAGACAAGGGTGACGCGTTTGTTCGCTCGACGCATTGAACGCGAGTTCATTGAAACTCCGCCGCGCCGTTCGTTTCTTTCTCGCGGAACATGTGCCCTGCCGTTTTTTCTTTTTTTTTTTTTTTTGCTATTGTGACTCGGCCAGGTTGGCCAACGTTCGCCGGAAGCCTCGCCGTGCGTCACGAATGTCAACAGCGGATAGAAGCTTCGACGACTCTCGCGGAATAAACGACGACCTCACAAAGTGAACGCTGGCAGAATTGAAAACCGATTTCTCGACTTCTGTCAACAAAGATTCGTACGTATCCCCGTGGCGTTATTGAACGAAGCTTCGCTTCAATTGTATCGCGAAAATCGTGGATTTTCGCGAAAGTTTCGCGTAGAATGAGAACCAGCTTTCTTTCGTGGCTGGGAAAATATTGAACTACGCTCGTTGAATTCCAATTTAGACGCAGGAAACCAAGAACCCCTAGCCTTGAAGGTCTCGCCGAATCTCAAATCACTCGAATCGAACGTTGCATCACCTTCGGAAGCAAAGATCCACCGCGCGAAGCCGCGCGTGAAGTCACGTTAGCAGTGAACTACGCGAAAATCCGTCGGCGATTGGCAAGCAATGGAAAATGATCCCTTACCTCAAAAGAGGCGATCAGAACGCAGTGCTGTGGAAGGACAGAGATGCCGGACGATCCTGGCTACCTCGAGGGAAGCTCGCCCGGGCGGCATGGCTCCCACCTCTTCGCCCTGTGATCCTCCCGACTGCTGCCCGGCAGGGTGTCCTTCTTCCTCGGTTCGTGCTGATCCGTTTGCCAATCGGGGGATGTTGCTCGCACAGAGTGCAAGTCGTAATACAGTGGAGACACAAGGAAACGCCAAAGTATTCGCTTCGTATCACTTCGTAGCAGCAGAACAAAAAGATCCGTCGACGGATAGGACCTTCGATAGGAACTCGAAGAGCGTCACGAATACGCGAGTCACGGCAACGACGACAACGATGACGACACGACTCTCGTTCTCAGTGTACGCGTCACACCTGGACTGGTAGGAGACTGGGTAGGATACCGCGTCGATAAGAGAAGGGAGCACGAGAAACGCGAGCAAAGTCGAAGGATCATCCGAGACGAACGAGAAAGGAGAAGAAGTCGTTGATGGAGGTGAAGTCGTTGGGGCTACCGCGAGGACAGGAAACGTGACACACACCAGGTCCAGGGATGGTAAAAAGGATGATCTCTCTAGGGGACCGTGGTCGGCTGTCGAACAGGATCAGAGAAAAGAGAGCACAGAAAACTAGGCACAGGACACGATGGCCCGGCCACTGCGCCGGCACTGAGGCTACGCCGCAGCCTCGCTCTCCTGCTGTTCCCTTCCCCTCTCGTTCGTTCCACTCGCTCGCTCCGTCTCGCTTCCTTCGCCAACGTCCTCCGTTTCTCTCCTTCTCTCTGCGCCTCTCCTTCTCCCTCTCCCGCGCTCAATTTCTCTCGCTCTAACCACCCCCTACGCGTCTACCTCTCTTCTGTTGCACAACCCTCTCCGCCACCCTCTGTGCTCTCTCTTTTCGGATCTCTACCAACCCTCCGTGACTCGCGCTCCTCACCCTCACCTACCCTCTATCCTCCTTCCTCCCCAGACGCAGTCTCCATCTCCGTTTCGCCAGCCGCTGCATCCCTCTCGCTTTCTCGATGCTTCTTTCTTGATCGGAATAGGTGTCCGTGTTTTCGAACGAAAAGCGCGCCCCTCCCGCGCGTTACCTCTTCTTGAATCCTTTGCTTCTTTCTTTCTCGCCCACGCGCGCGCGCACACACACACACACATACCCACCTCGAGACTTGGAGATGTTTGTTTGCATTTTCTTGATTTTTTCGCTCGACTCTTTCTGCTCTTCACCGCCTCCTCGCTTCGAACGAAGTTGTTTTTATTTCCCTCGTCGAGTTGCTGGTCTTGTAGTCTAATTTCTGGTTTTTCTTCCCTTTCCCGCGGGACTACGTCCGACTACGTATCCCTCCCCTGGGTTTTTCCCTTCCTTACAGCGTCGTTTCTTTGCAATTAATTTAATTTTGGATCGGTCGATCGAAAATTAAATCGAAATAATTTCGGTGTCGCTTCTGTAGTTGTAGAATTGTTAACCACTTTGGATCATGTGGTTAGAATGATTTAAGACCTTTTTAAGAAACAATTAAATCCAACTTAATCCGATTTTATCTTTCTGTCTAGGACTTTTGTTCGTCTTCGAACGAAGCTTCGTATTTCTGTCTTTCATTTTATTATGAATTTCGATGCCCCGATGTTTGCACGCGCTACGCTGCTTCCCAGAGAAACGAGGCCCGCTTTTTCCACCGGTAGGTTCCACCTTCTCCTTGGTGCTCATCTCTCTTCACTGTTCCTTCGTTCCTTCGACGTCGTCGTTTTTTACCTCGTCGTTTCTTCCTTTCTTCTTCGCTAGTTCTTCGAGCCTTCGACCGATACCTTCCGCTCGAGATATTATACTACTACTAGACCGAAGAGTATATTAACCCTTTAACCTAATGGTTATGGAGTTTTCCTAACCTACGGTTAGAAAAAGGAACCCGAGGATGTTGCCGTGTGGTGCTAGAAATTTATTGGAAAATCGATTGAGTGAGAATTTAAAAACGTAATGATGGAAGTTGCGACAACAATAACTATTAACTTTGAGATAAAACAAGTGGCAAGAGCAATTTAACTCTTTCTAAATTCTTCGTGTCAATTTGTTGCACTCTTTGTAAATTTCTCGTGTTTCTCCCGAGCGAATGTTTTGTTACAAGTGTCCTAGATACACTTCGTTCATTTCTTCTCTTCGATTTTATTCCTCGATACGCGAGTCGCCCCGATTCATTGTTTACCACGAAACCCGTTACTTTCGTCCGTAATTATCTTTTCATCGTCACGTTGCCACCCTCGCAGGGTGACGAGTAACATTTGTTACACGTCGTTTTCCATCCATTATCCTTTACCTGCTCTTTCTGCCCTCTGTCCTCGATCTCTCGCTTCATTCGCGTCCCTCTTCGTTTCAACACGAACGCATTGCTCGCTGCACATCCGTCATCCATTTTTTTTTTCCCCCCCTCACTTCGCCTCCATCCGTTTCGTTTGTTCAATCGTTCCATCGTCCGTGACTACTCTCGTTCTCCATTTTACTCTTCCACCTTCGTCCCATTCCAATTTCAATCTTCTTAATTTTTTTTAGTTTAGTCGCTGCTTTCATAAATCCTCTTACCAAACTCTTTCGTTTTCACCATTGTTGTCCTACCGGGGCATTGCAATTTTCTCAGCGCCTTTCTTCTCGGCCGCGTCTTCAACTTGATTTGTTTCACACCATCCTCCATTCATATACCTGTCGCGTGTTTTTTGCTTATTTTCTTGTCTCTCCTTTCTCTCACTCTCTCTTCGTCTAGCTACAGCCATTCTACAGTGTACCACGTCATCAGGGATTCTCGCTGTTCTACGGTGTTTCGCCGCAAAATTCAAGCTCGTGACGATCTTGGCACTCTTTCATCTCCCTCTGACGCCGCCGCAAACCCTTGTAACCTCATCCCGCTCGTGGCAGTCTCCACGATGAAATAAACATGGCCCACGGAATCTCTCGGTCTGCCTCGTGAAACCACGAAATATTTAAGTCCGTCACGTTTCTCTACGCTATTTCGAACCGTGTGCTCTTCTTTCTCTGCTAATCAATTTTTTACACGATCACGATCGAACTGCTGGCTACGTTCGTTTCGCACCTGCCGCGAGGAGATTTGATCGTATATTTGACGAGACAATTGCTCAAATTGTTAAATGTTGATCAGAACGATTCAACTTTGATCCCAAATTTTGTTAATTCTTATTTCGAGGTCTGATAATTGTGACTTTCAAAGATTGTAAATTCTTGTTGGAAACTTCACAAGCTGCTTCCTAATGAATATAAATTAAATGTTTGTAAATTAAAATTTTGCTAATAAAGCGAATTTTAATTCGCGCGTGAGGGCCTTGTCTCTGTTTAATAGCCTTGATCTTTCCACATCGGAGTCTGGAAAGAAATTGTTTTAAATATAATTAATATATAATTAATATGAAATATATAATTGTTTATATATAAAAAAAGTATAATTAAATTAAATATAAAAAATATTTTAAATATAAAAAAAGTATAATTAAATTAAATATAAAAAATATTTCAAATATAAAAAAAGTATAATTAAATTAAATATAAAATAAGTATAATTAAATTAAATATAAAATAAGTATAATTAAGTTAAATATAAAAAATATTTTATATATAAAAAAAGTATAATTAAATTAAAATCGTCCCAATTAATTAATGTATTATCTTAGATAGATTGCAGATATTTTATTTATTGACTCGTTAATAATGATATTCGTTCTTCGTTCTCCAAGATTTGAAGTTCAATTCCTTGAATAAACGAGTGAAGGATTCCAATATTCTCTGTTCGACGTTTCACAATATACATAAAACATTCAAGAAACGAAGTGAAATATTTGACGAGATGTTAAATCACCAAAAAGTCGCGGATAAATTTTCTTTCAAAACGAACGTCTTTTTTCGATCTGCCTGTGCCTCGGATCGATCGATCGGCGAACGAGCGGAACGAGGGAGAAAAGAAGTAGTCTCCAGGAGTCACGACCTTCGACACGACGATGTGATCGAGGATAGAGTTCTGATTCGCGGGCACGTTCGCATTGTTATGCTAATAATATTCCGCCGGTGCGATAAAGATTTCACTGGTCGAAAATTCCTGACAATCGCATTACAGATGATAATAAAGATAGACGAAAATAGGGATCCTATGGTAGCTCGATGTTTCGATTCGATAGTCACGTAAATCGAACTTCAACCCTTTGGTCCTCGAGTTCTCCTTCCCGCCTTTTATTACCCTTCCTGCGCGAAAGAAAATTACTCCCTTACGTGAAACTATTCTTCAAGACAGGAAAATAGACGAAGAATTTCACGATGGCTGAAAATGAAAGACTATTGCAAATTGAATACGTGATGGGCTCGAGCACGATTCGAACATTGGCCAACTAGACCAAGACCCTCTGTAAAGTAAATTTGGTAAATACGAATCCCCATATAAATTATTCAGGAATGAAAATGTATTTCGCAGAATCTATAGAATATATAGATTGAATAGACTTGGAAAATTTTGAGCAACGAATGGAAGATTCTCCATTTTTCCCAATTTTCTCGGTTATCGTCTTCTTGATTGTAAATTGAGGCATAAGAAATAAATGACGCGAGAAACATTATATGTGTATATCAATGTAAATAATTCTTAGCGAAAAATATTTAGTATAAAAGTTACCAATATTCATATACATCGCTACTTGAGTATTATATTTATTTCAAAGCTGGAAAAATGAAGTAGTGCAAATGTTACGAAATACTCATCGTATAATAATATAAAAATTTTTAAATAAAAGCATGAAGTAAAAAGTAACTTAAAACTTTTGAGCAGCATCGTGTACATGTGTACGTATCTGCAAGTACAAATTTTGAATTTTCTTTCGTTAGACAAATTCTACCAATATGATCATGACATTCGTTGCTGCCAATAAAATTCTCAAATGTTCCATACAACGCGCACACTATAAATCTTCACGTAAAAATTTCCTGTGATAATTATTCAAATACTTGAGCTAGTTATCGTCGGGACGTAGCGGGCTGAATTTCTGCAACGTAATTGTTGTTTACGCCACTGTTCAAATCCGTATAGCTTTGATAAATTACGTGACACGGAATGGAATCCCAATGAAACGAATTCTGGCCGCCGAGTGATTAAGAACGTTAGATATAGCTGTCCACTCGGCCGAATAATTACCACTTGATAAATGATATCAGGAATAATGCAAATAAGACTGGCTGTTACTATGCGCGGCCTGTTTATAACGTATAATAGAATGCCCTGTCGCTACCAGCGTGTTACATTTTGCACCTGTAGAATTCAATAGTGGCCCACAGCGTTTGTTGCTCTGTTCGTTTCAGGAATGCCTTTTGGAACTGCAGCCAAATGGCACAATTAACATCTGAAGTCTGGCCTCGAGGTTCGTTTCGTTCTCATACTTCAAAGTATACGTTTACATTTTTTACTCTGTCGACGCTCGGGCCTTGTTTCTCGTCTAATTTCTGAGATGTTACTTTTTTTTTTTTGTAAAGGTTCGGTCCTTTAATCGATAATGGCATATGACTTTTATAAACGTTCGTGAATCAACAACTGAATCAGCAGTGATGACTCTAGATCTAGAAGTAGTAGTGGCAAATTAAAAATGTACAAAACTGAGGGAATAATTTTAATTCAATA